TGTTCCAGGTACATGGACTTGCTTTACTACGGGTACAAGAGTCGGCGCAAGGGACAGGTGTGCACGGAGGCGAGGGCTGGACTGGAACAACACCCTGATAAATTCTCTCTGGCAGCGGACAGGTTGAAGCAGAAGCAGGGTATGTATAGTGGTTAACGAACACATACTCTGCAACGTGGACGGAAAAATTATTTGGAAATCAGCCTGAGGAAATGGAGATAAATCGATTTTTTTTTTTTTTTTTTTTTTTCAATTGTTGTGGTTGTTTTACTTGTATTACTATTCATGGTGATTAATGTCAGCCTGGTAAAATATGCACGCAAGCAGGTGTACGCACCTATATGCAAATGTTCACACGTCCACCCGCTCAAATAGGAGCACGCAGACACACACACACCCGCAAATGCAAACAAATAGCTTGAATTTTTTCACAGTGAGACGAAGATAAAATAGTTGTAGAGGTTCAGTCAGTACATCTGTCCTCTCATGCTGACAGTCCCCGTTCTTAGTGAGAGCGATAGAAACAACCACGATTCTACAGAATAGATTTCCTTTCATAATCTTTCTTCACAGTTTTTAATAGAAGAACGTGTTCACGCTGACTAGAAAGGTGACACAATGTTTTTTTTTCTCACTTGTCTTTCTTCACCTGGACAGTGACACGATTTTTTTTTCATATGAGATTTTATGATAAAGCTCTTTGATTTTTCTTTTTTTTCATATGAGCTTTTATGATAAAGCATATTTTGTATATGAACTTTTATGATGAAGCTGTTTGATTTTTTTTTTTTTTTCATATGAACTTTTATGATGATGCTGTTTGATTTTTTTTTCATATGAACTTTTATGATGACGCTGTTTGATTTTTTTTTCATATGAAATTTTATGAGAAGCTGTTTGATTTTTTTCATATGAACTTTTATGATGACGCTGTTTGATTTTTTTTTATATGAACTATTATGATGAAGCTGTTTGAATTTTCTTTTTTTCATATGAACTTTTATGATGAAGCTGTTTGATTTTTTTTTATATGAACTATTATGATGAAGCTGTTTGATTTTTTTTTTTCATATGAAACTTTTATGATGACTGTTTGATTTTTTTTATATGAACTTATGAACTTTTTTTCATATGAAGTATTATGATGACGCTGTTTGATTTTTCTTCATATGAACTTTTATGATGAAGCTGTTTGATTTTTTTTTTTTTTTCATATGAACTTTTATGATGATGCTATTTGATTTTTTTTCATATGAACTTTATGATTTTTTTTTTTTTTTTTTTTTCATATGAACTTTTATGATGACGCTGTTTGATTTTTTTTTTTTTTTCATATGAACTTTTATGATGAATGATTTTTTTTTTTTTCATATGAATTTTTTGATTGTTTGATTTTTTTATATGAACTATTATGATGAAGCTGTTTGATTTTTTTTTTTTTCATATGAACTTTTATGATGCTATTTGATTTTTTTCATATGAACTTTTATGATGAAGCTGTTTGATTTTTTTCATATGAACTATTATGATGAATGATTTTTTTTTTTTTTCATATGAACTTTTATGATGAACATATGGATGATTTTTCTTCATATGAACTTTTATGATGAAGCTGTTTGATTTTTTTTTCCTGATATGAACTTTTTGATCTGTTTGATTTTTTTTTTTCATATGAATTTTATGATGAAGCTGTTTGATTTTTTTTCATATGTTATGATGATATGAACTTTTATGATGATGTTTGATTTTTTTTTCATATGAACTTTTATGATGATGATTTTTTTTTTTCATATGAACTTTTATGATGAAGCTGTTTGATTTTTTTTTTTTCATATGAACTTTTATTGATTTTTTATATGAACTTTTATGATGATGATTTTTTTTATGCTTTTTATTTTTTTTTTTTTCATATGAACTTTTATGATGAAGCTGTTTTTTATTGCGGTTTTGATATATATAAAACTCTCCCGCCAGGACTCGCGAACGCACGAACCGCGGATTGCCACAACTACCAGAAGCTGTGGATCCACGCTGAGAGAGACGCGGCCAACGTTGACCTCCTGGCGTCGCTGCTGCAGGACGCGCCCCAGCTCATCCTGCAGCTGTATATCATGGCCCACACTGTACCCGCACAGGCGCTGCAGGGGGAGATCAGCCAGACTTGTAAGATGTGATTTTTTTTTTTTTTTTTTTTTTCTTGTATTTTCTTTATTCTTTATTTTCGTTCCTTCAATCTTTTTCTTTGATTTTCGTTTTTTTCTTCTTCTTTCTTTTCTTATTTCTTTGTTTTTCGCTCTTTTCTTTTCTTTTCTCTTGTCATTCTTTCTTTCTGTCTTTTTACCTTTTTTGAACGTTTGTTCCTTAGTCTGAAGCTAGTTCGTTTACTAATAATTTGAGAAGCTGTCACTTTGAGGTAGAACGGCAAGTCCGTGAAATAAGTCCATTTTCGAGAATTTGCATAAATCTTATCCCCCCAATGACCTTTGACCTCGACGTTTTAAACAACAACTCCCTTTTTTTTTCTTCTCCCTCGCCCAGTAATGTTCCAGATCCTTTCCGTGGCCGCGTCCCTGGTGGCCATGTCGTGGTCGGTGTCCTCTTTCTCGAGGTCGACCCGCCTCGCAGAACCGACCTTGGGCAACCTGAGTCCCGCGGGGCTGCTCATCCTCACCCTGGGACACTTCTGCTCCATCGCCCCCCAGGTGAGCGCCGGCGTCCGGAGGGGGGAGGGGCGGGGGGGGACTCGAGGGGTTCTTTGTGGTAGTTTTGTCTCATGCTTCTACGGGGTCGTGGGAATTTGGGACGCCCGATTAATATTATTTAATTATTCATTTATATATATATATATATATATATATATATATATATATATATATATTTTTTTTTTTTTTTTTTTTTTTTTTTTTTTTTTTTTTTTTTTTTTTTTTTTTCTTCAGGATGCCCTTCCTGACGCGGACCCTCTCTATTTACCCGGGTTTGGGACTTGACTTAGGCTAGCTTGTCATCCCGGGGGAATGATTATATTATTATATTATTATTATTATTATTATTATTATTATATTATTATTATTATTATTATTACTATTATTATTATTATTATTATTATTATCATTGTATTGATAACAATAATAATAATAATAATAATAATAATAATAATAATAATAATAAAATAATGATAATAATAAATTATCATTATTATTACTACAAAATATTATTATTATCATCATCATTATTATTATAAGCATTACTATTAGGTCCATTATTATTCTTGTCTTGGGAGTGGCAGATGTACTGTGCATTGGGCCACATTTTATCGCATGAACGTACCCCTTCTCTAATTTAAATAAGTGGTATCTATAACCCAGATTTTTTTTTTTTTTTTTTTTTTTTTTTTTACAGGTTTTGTGTTTTGCTCTGTTCTCCACCAAATACATGATCATATTCGTGGTGGTGATATCCTGCCATTGGCTGGCTGCTAGCTTCTTCGTTATTGTTCAGGTATGGGTTGTTATGTCTATATATTCTTGAACTTAAGCTAGTGTTGTAGTCGTTGCGTTGTAAGTGCTGTAATTGTTATTGAACAAAAATGAACAATTTGTATCATCTTGCAATTTTGCCCCGAATATGGCTCTCTTAATGGTTTGTTATGTCTATATATTCTTAAACTTCAGCTAGTGATGTAGACGTTGCGTTGTAATTGTTTTAATCGTTATTGAGCAACGTATCATCTTGCAATTTTGCCCTGAATATGGCTCTGCATTTTTACTTTACTTCTTACATGATAACTTTTGCATTGGCAAGAGTGATGTGACGCAGCCCTTCTCCACAGGTCGTGTGCTGTCCGAACCCCGTCCGCCTGGGGGCGACCTTCACCCACGACGTCCGGAAGGGCCCCTGCAACCGCCTGGACGACGTCGCCTTCAGCGCCTCCTTCGGGCTGGTTCTCCTCTACACGTTCATCGACGTCGGAGGAGCCGCGCCCAAGATCCAGGGCTCCGTGTTCCACTTCCTCAGACTCGTCGAAGAGGCCTGCATGATCACGTTCTGGTGAGTCGACTCATCTCATAGAGTGAGTGAGAGTGAGTCCGTCTGTTTATACACAGCATTTCGTCATGTCTTTTCCTCGAGGACATCACACATCAGCACTCACGGTCCCTTTTTGACCCCTAGGTACTTAACAACCGACCAGGACATGTGGTACCACTGGGTCCCCCTCGCCATGGTCCCCGGGTTCTTCGTCGTGGGCGTCCTCCTCGTGTGCGCGTACTACTTCTGCGCCCACCCCGACCGTCGGAACAGGAGTCTCACGGTCTGACACTAGGAAATCCTTAGAAAGTTAGAATCAGGTAGAACTAGTCACCCAAGAAGAGGTTCTGGTTAATCTCAAAAACTTGCTTCACTAATGTTAAAAGGAATGTTGGGTTGATGCTAAGAATATGAAAAGGAATATTGAATTCCTGGTAAACAAAAAGATTTGTGCTCGCGCGCGAAACCTCGAACTGTGCAAGTCAGATGTGCAATTTTTTTATCACATTATTTTAGTGATTTCTTGTATGTGATGTCAAGAAGTAATTACATTTTTAGATTATTTCAAAACATGTAAACAACCTCAATTACAAATAAACATATTATTTACGGGAAAATGTGATATATATATATACATATGTATTTTTTGTTGTTTTGTTATGTTGGCTTCGGGATATTATCCTTTGCCAAATACTTTAAGCCTTAAGGTACTTTTAAGGACTTTATCAGTATTTTCGAAGGACCTGTATTAGCGTAGAAAATCTTGCTAAATGTTTTGATACGATTGTAATGTTTGATATAGCGAGGTCTTCAGGCCAAACACCACTTATCTCTTCACTGTCTTTCCTTTTATAATGTTGCAGTGGTTAACAGAGCAATGTGTACATGTACGCGAAGGGTGGCACAACAAATTTTGCATTTTCGTCTTTTTCATGTGAACTTTTGTGATGAAATAAATATTTTATTGTGTTTAAGATGTGTATGAATAATACAGACTCCTTTTCTGCTACTTATGAGATTATCTATTTTAACAAATATCTATTGTAACAAATGGAATTGAAACTAAAAATCTTTTACTCTTACTGTTGTTGTTTTTATTATAGTTATTGTTATTTGTATATTAATTGGTATTATTGTTATTATCATTACTATTATTATTGTTATTATTATTATTGTCAGTATTATGATTATTAATGTTATTGTTAATATTATTATCAGCATCATGATTATCATTATTTTTTTGATTATCATCATGATTTCCTTCATTATTGTTATTGTTATTGTTGTAATTGTTATTATTTTGTTACTGTCGTCGTCGTCGTCACTGTGACCATAATGACGATAAATATGACAATTTGATGACATACTCTATAGTGACACCTGTTTATCGAAAAGATCAGAGGACTTGTAGAAGCCACTGTGATTTTTACAATATCGATTCTCTGAGCAGTGATTTGCAAGACTGAGTGGCTAAGGGTTGCCGAATGGCTTAAACAGAAAGAATAATAATAGGTAAATGAATATTTAAAGTTGGTAAAAATGAAAAAGTAAATACGCAACTGAAAATATCGACTTCGCGTCCAGGAAATGTAGAGTACGTAAGCCGGAGTTAATAAGCTGAAGACCGAACCGCCTAGCATTGCGTTTCTTAAAAACGATGATAATAATGGAACAAAGTAAATCATATGAATTAATAAATACACAGATTAATATATTGAGTCTGATCACGTCCAAGACATGAAGAGAGCGTAAAATGAACTCCGGAATATCTTGTAATTACGTTTCCTACACACATCTGCTTGGGTGACGTAATGAATAAACACCGACATTATTTTCCTGCCTCGGGTTCGTTAAGCCAAGAGTGAGTGAATAAATAGATAAAGGAATGAATGAATGGATAGTAGATCACTGAGTTAATTAATAGATGAATAAGTAAATGATAAAAAGATGTACAAAACAAAAAGAGAATATGGTCTCCAAGCCGCAGAGTTTAGATTCCTAAATCACACACGTTCAATGTATTTTCTCTGAAGATTTCTGACGCTGAGAAAAAGCACAGCAGGTGGTCTTTCGGAAAGGTCGCGAAAGGTCAGGAATTCCCGGTAACTGACAAACGAAGAGTAGATTTGCTGAATCCTTTTGTAAATTCTCAAAAAGGCACCGATGCAGAAGAGGGGCGACCATCTGTTAAAACATATTCCGGTTTTAGAGTATCGTTTTAAATTAAGGAGTTTTGAGTTTATTTTTGAAGGAAATGATACTACTCTATATGCATTGCACTTGTTTTGTTCGAATAATATTCAAAAATCACATTTTGACAGACAAAACAGCTACAAAGTAATCAGGGTAGACAAGTATTTTATTATCAATGAACAAATGAAATGAAATTCCATTATAAGTATTTTTAAAGTTACACAACAAATCTCAACTCGATTTTCAAACAGGATTTTAGACTCCACGTGTTACATCTACGACAGAAAAAAAAAACTTAATAGACTTTGAAAACTGGGTGCAAGGAAATCTCTTTGCTGATTTAAGGATACAAGTGAGATTTATAAATTAGCCACTGTAAGACTTGCAGCAAGAGTGACGTGGTTTCATGTTAGATATGAATCAATAATAATAACAACAATAATAAAATTCAGTATGGGTTAAGTATGAATTGATCAAATATCACCATATACAACAAAACAATTGCGAAATTTACTCCAGCAATGGATGGCAGCGTAGTAGGGTCCAATGAATATCTCAGGTGTTAGAACAAGTAACAGTCATATATTATATATTAATATGCAGGTTTTATTACACAAGATAAACATATGAGTTGAAAAGAATTTCTAGACTCTCTCCGGAGCAACACGTTAGAACAAGTAACAGTCATATGCAGGTGTTAAAACAAGTAACAGTCATATATTATATATTAATATATTACACAACTGTGGTAAACATATAAGTTAAAAAGAATTTCTAGACTCTCTCCGGAGCAACACGCTTTGCCGCTTGCAGTGTTGCCCTTGCAATATTCAACATCAAATGTCCGACTTCGTATAACTATTGGACGTAATCCACCATTGATCTTATTTTACTGGATATTTGTTATTAAAAATTACTTAGTTTCGCACAAGAGTTGCTTCGATTGTGAAGAAAAGAGATTTACTGAATATTTTTACTGAATATGTTGATTATCTGTATGTATATAAAGGATTTTAGTTCTGCCAGACTTAAGAGACAACCAAAAACCTCGCATCATTTACTCTTAAATCCTTTTTGCATCAAGAAAATGATAATATATAGGTCGATATAGATACAGATATACTGTACCTTACCTTATTGATTCTAGTGAGATCAGAAACGTATTTACAGCAACTGGATATTTGGAAAACACGATCAATATTGGTATGCGCTGTGTGTGTATGGCATCAGGCTATGGTGAGGAGTAAGACAAAAGCTCTACTTAATTATCATAACAAGTGACCCTGTTGTAAAGTCTGTATTGGCATGTAGATTACATGCATTTCAAAATCATGGCTATGTAGATGTTTTAAAATCCATCAAGGTACAGATAATAGATGTTGGTTATCCATCTAAGTCCAATAATTTGTTTTACTTTTTTTTACAATATTCTCAATTCAGCCGTTTACGAAAGGACATAAAAAAAAAACTAAATATTTCTGACGTTGTGTTGTTACCCAAGAAAACTTTTCTGTTGTTCATTAATAAATTCCTTCCGTTTTCGCACTTATATAAACACAGCGCAGAGTACAGTGGTTCCTTATAGAGGGTACTGTATATTACTTGGGTCAGGCAATAAAGTTTTAACAGTTGCATGATCAACATCATTCTATAATATCCGCTACTAAAACGTCCCAGAACCACCTGATATTTCTACACAGCCTGTACAATATGAATAAAAATGTTTAGAAAAACCTGTTACATTTGGGGGTATATTGTTCATGTGTCACTGAAATACGGGCGCTGTGTCTATAGGCCAGGCAACTGCCACTCAAGCACAAACAATGTTAAAATCCGAAGTTCCTTTGTGAGGCAAAGATGTTTAATAGTACAGAAGGAGCGGGAAACTTGCAATACTTTGTTGAAAATGTTTTCAATTATAAATTAATAACAGACAAATTGAGTGCAGTAGCATCCGATCTTTCCTACCATGTGTATGTAGACTATGGGGCAGGTAATTTCCAACGTTGTCTAAAGCTATTGTAGTTGAGAAAAGATAACCCATTCCGATTTGCCAGGATTCTAACAACCGTAATGCCATGTCTGTAATATATAGCCATTAATGCATACATAACAAGTACCACACAACACAATGCACAAGGTCTGGGTGCCGATCCTTCTCACAACACATACATTCACTTTGCTATCCCGCCGGATCAGTTAAGTTCAGTTAGATTTGCGAAGTCATGCTTCACCCGGGCCTTTTCTCTGGAGTGGCCCGGCCTGTGTTAACTATTTCTAGTTAACTCAGGTGGTTTCTTTGAACTGCATGCTTATCGTGGTGGCTGAATTGCGAGCAAGCGATCCAGCTGCCACGGAGTAAGCATGTTGCACACCCTTTTTATCAGCCCGGCGGCTGTGGTGGGTGGTCCCTGTCTTAGAAATTGTGTGTTCACAATTCTGCAAGTAATGTAACAGGGTGGCGTTAGACTCGCCGCAGTGTTTGCATAACCTGGCAGTCTCATCATCAATAATTTGCCAAGCGCATTGGTAACCTAGTCTTAGTCTGAATAGTATGACTTCGGTACCTCTTTTTGTATTTGGAGGAAGGGCCAGTGGCTCATAGCCTGAAGCATCTGAGTACCACTTGGCAGCGAGCGAGTTTGTGATGTTTTCTCAATGTGCTCCCCGGAGGACCGCACATGCTGTGGCTTTGGTTCTTTGGCATAGTCCCCTTCGGCTGGGTTTAACGATCATGGAGGATGGGGGCATACCCCTGCCCTTTTCAGCTAGTTTGTCAGCAAGCTCATTCCCTTGAATGCCGATGTGGCTTGGGACCAAGTTAATGATAATTCTTCTACCCTGACTGAGAATTCTTTGGGCTATGGTTAGTACGGTTGTCAGGAGGTAGATGTTGTCTTGGGGCATGCTATGTTGTAAGCTGTCAATAGTTGCTCTCGAATCTGTGTGAATGACAACGAGTCCTGCCCTAAGGGACGCGTGTGTCAGGGCTTCCATGATCGCAACCGTTTCAGCTTGGAACGTTGAGGCATTGTCAGTGACCCTAATGGATGCTGTGGTATCCCTTCTTGCGAAGCCGGCGCCTGCAGTATGGTTTATGGGATCCACGGATCCGTCCGTGTAGTAGGTTATGCTACCCGGAGGAGTTATTTGACCAATGACCCTTTGTGCTTGTGCCTTTAGACTAGGCATGGAATATTGAGTTTCTGGGTGCCCGCAGGAGCTTGGAAAGGAACTGTGCTGCTATTAGATCAATTCTGGTGCCCAGGGACGGTAAATCAGCTTCCATGAGGAGGTTGATGACCTTTGTCCATTTGGTCGCGCCTATAATGATCCTGGCTGCTTCATTTTGTATTGTTTTTAGTTTTTCTTTTAATGTTGTGCTGGAAGCAATGAGGGCGACAGATGCATAGTCAATAATAGGGCGGACAGCATGTACATAGAATGATCTTAGTACTTTGTGTCCTGCTCCTATGTGTCTCCCTGTCATGATTTCATGACTGACAGTCTTTCCTTGGTTCTGTCAAGCAGGTATTGGATCTCCTTTTTGAAAGTGAGTGTGTGTCCTATCCATACACCAAGGTATAGGTAGTCCTTAACCCATTCCATATCCATACCCTGAACAGTGAGTTTTTTGTTTCTGACATTAGTTCTCAGAGCCATAGCTTTTGATTTTGTTGCCAATATTTTTAGACCCGTCCTACAATACTCTTCAGACACCAGCTGAGCTCTAGTTAAGCAGTGATTGCCAGAGGCTATGATTGCCAAGTCATCAGCATAA